TATATATATGACCCATTGTTTATGAATGATAAGATTGTTATTAAACATAGTTGGGAATGACATTTTGGTGCACACCTAGATGATGAGACAAAGTGTTGTATAATCCCAAGAAAATACAATATAGAGAGATAAAGATAAATCATATGAAACACAATACAGGATTATTAGCAAACTCCATGTGACTCCAGTAAGTGCCAGGACCAACATGGCACTTACTTTCATTTAATGTGGCCCTGTCCACCGATTATAAAATTTCAGTTATCAGTCCAAACAAAAATTGAGAAATTTCTTTGCATTAACATAACAATGGATAACATAACTTTGTATTGTTGGTGTTATGTCTTTCCAGGACTGACTCGACATACACCCACCTACTATTTCATCGAGGTACAACAAATTGTTTGAAACACAATTTCAGCACCACCTTTTCATGTGCATTGCTTTCTTGAATTAAAATAAAAAGCAAGAAAAAACTTCAGATTGTAAGAATCAAATAGGAGAAGTGCACAAATTGTGGAACAGAACAGAAATATGTGCAACATAATAAAATATGTGAAGTGGGAAATATGTCTAGAATCTAGCAACGCTCTGCCTGCCGGGTAGTTGAGACTCAGCTACCTCCTACCCTGGTATTTAGTGGTAAAGAGGCGGATGGCTTTGGGAATTAAGGACCTTCTGATTCTGCCAGTTGAGCAGCTCAGTCACAGAAGCCTGCGCTGCTGTACATGCTCCTCTGGTTGATGACTGTGCTGTGTAGTGGGTGTGAGTAGCTGTCAATAACAGATTTGCTCAAAGTCCTTCTCTCAGCAGCTGATACCAAAGACTCCAGCCACATGCTGAGAACTGAACCAGCTTCCCCACACACAGCATAGAGGATAATGAGAAGGTTGATAGAAGACTCCGTGCTTTTAGAAACTGATGATTCAAGAAACACATGAAACTGCTCACATTCTGCTTTTTGATCATATCAACAACTATTTTTTTCACCACTAAAAATCTTTTGCAATTTCCTTTAGAGAAGCACCAGAAAGATGTTCCCCAAATGGTAATCGTTAACCATTCAAACCTGATCTCTTGGTCCGTACTAATTCTGGCAATTTCAACTAACTGTGCATACTTCAGTGTTGTCTTTGCTGCCTCTGTGTTCTCAGGGCTTGGGAGCTGTTGGAAAGTAGGCTGCAGTTTACAGAACACGTTCCATATTTCATATATTTTCAGTCAATATCTTGAGATAACTGACTTATAAATAATTTTTGAAACAGAAAGCAGTTTTTGGAGAAAAGGATACTATGCTTTAAAGTCAGTCTCTGGGTACTATTTTTTAAGTGGCCAATTTGAACCACGGCTTTAGAGAAAACCCTGAGAGAACAAGGCTGGCTTGTGTAGTGTGATAAATGAAACAAACTATAAGTTCTGTGGTTTGGCCTGCAGAGTCAACTGGACCAAAGAAGCCTGTGCCCGAGAGCTTGCCTGTTGGCTGACTTTGTTTGAATGATACTCATTATCCCTGTGAGACAGTCCAGTCATAGTAAGTGTGCAATATAAAGCAACATATACCTGGTATGTCCCTTGCAGCGTGCCTACAAGGAGAGTGACCTCCTCCACAACAGAGAGATCATGTTGGAGTTCCTGCAGCTCGTGGTAGAGCTGTGGAGGGCCCAGGGCTGCTTTACCTAAGAGATGGGTAACACGCAAACCGTCCGTCATATCACCACATACTGTACACAATCCTGCGGAAAAAAGTACACTTATGAGTGTACCTTACATGAAAGTTCAAGGTCAAGACAAAGCAACAACATTGCATCTGAGAACTCATTAATTGCAGACAGAAAAGCTGCCTTTGCTGAAACTCCAGCGGAACTAATAAAAGAGGTTCAATGTGTAGATGGAAAGTTCATTATTTTTGAACCAGGGAGATTGAATTTATGAGTAAAAAAAAAAAAATCAGATAGAGAAACTGTTATTTGGAGCTTTGATGTCCTTTTGCTGGCCACAAGGAATGCAGGTGTCTCATTAAATGCAAAATTCAGCATCGATTTGAGGCCTGCTACCTTCAAAGTCCCTCTCTCCTATTGCTGCAAATCAATAGCTGTGTCTCCTCCCGACTGCCATCCACTGTCCTAGTTCTCCTGGCCCACATCTACCCAGCAGCAGGTTCCATGAGAACAGCCTAATTAAATTCTGCAGGTATATTTTGCTCCAGAGCTGTCTTGCACTGTCACTGGTGCCACATAATAAAGTAGCAGGAGAGCTGAGCTGGTAGGCGGGTTTAGTGAGGCATGCTGCTCCAAGGAGACCTGCTGCTTTTTGTCTATCCACGTGCATAAATGGAGTGAAAGTAAAGCTCTAAGAGGAAAGGCAGTGAAAAAAAGAGGTGGGCTGGGATTGTTCACTTAAAAAGCTCCACTGTAGCTTCTGGGGTTTAATGGGATCTTTGACACAGGCAGCCAGTGACATCTGTCATCTGTGCAAAGAAATCAATAGGCGGAATATCGCAAAATAAAAAAGTGTGCTGCAAGCTACAAGAACAATGTCTTCCTATCCTCTCCAAAGGGATTGATTCAATCCATGTACAGGTTTGTTGAGCCCTCTGGGACCTGCTGCTGGCTATGGTCCGAGAGGTGAATGTGCTGAGTTGTAATCCAGCATAATCCCATTGGTGAGGCAGGACACGGTTTTCACATTCAGACATGGCTATCCACACCGTGTGGAAGGCCTGAGCCCAGAGGGGTCCATCCCTACTTTCTGTGGAATTAAATGACCAATCTAAGACTCAAATGCTGTGCCAGTGATGCTAGCCAGTGGATTTAAAGACAATGCAGGTTCCACACCTGCATCAAAATCCCACTGGTACACTTCTGATAAAAAAACAAAAAAACAACTGCAGGTCAAAAAAGAGGCAGGAATAAAGGAGGTGTATGTAATTGGGTCAAAATGGAGGTAAGACAGCATGAGAATAAACAACTAGCACAACTGGCTTTCAGAAAGACAGCACATGCAGCACATCAGTGGTCCTTATGTGTCGGTAGGAACAGACAGATAGAGACAGGCCGAAGGAAACACAGGCCGAGACAAAGGGTAAGAGTGAGATAGACAGACTGCGCTTCCCTAAAGGCCAGCTTTCCTCAAAAAAGAAAGGAACCAGGACCTGCAGAAGATGAAAAATGACTCCATTTAGAGCTCTGCTGTGGGAGCACAGGATTTTGACTGAACGACATCACAGGGGATGGAACTATAAATAGAGGGGACAGCCTGTCTGAATGAAAATTTGGGGAACGGCCCCACAGCTGTTCACAGAGGTTTCTGGACAGGCATGGTTAAGGTGATCGCACTGTGCTGAAAAGGTTAGAAAAAGAAGAGAGAATGCCAGCACCCTCTGTTGGGCATAACATTTGCAGAATTACAGCAGAAAGGAAGAGAAAGACAGTTGCACTGAGATCTAACCTTAAATGATCCCAAAACCTTGCAGCATAGTTGTGAATATACACTACATGAAAAATAGGGGAAACTTAATCCAGTGAGAATCTAAATCAGCTCTGAAAACAGCAGCTGCTTACTGAGCATGACACGGATAGCTCTGAAGAAGGCACCATTAATATTTAAGTCATGGAGCTGCAACTTTAAAAAGCCTGTACCATTACATCCTGATAAGGCTTTGTATCTCCCTTTTCCCATGGCACATTTATCAGGGATCTCGTCAAGCTCTGTATACACCAGAGTTTTGTGAGGGGTGGTAGGAGAACTAGTGTTTCAAACACAGATTCCTATCTACTGTTACCGGCTGTCTAATTGGGCCTGCAAAGGAAGGGAATAATCTCCGCAGATTGATGACTCCACTCTAGATGTGTTTGTGGTCTATCAGAGAGTGAAATGAGACTGTGGGGATGATGCTGCAGGGGGTTCTGTACCCCCACATATCTCTCCAAGATAAAACACCCCAGGCAGATGGGAACAAGTGACCGTCATCACTATCCACCTCACAAACACATCTTCAATCAGAGTGACAAGCAGCACGAACCCATCTCCAGCCCTCTGCGGGACACTTGAGAAGAGAAATAAATTAGCCTTGCTGAGTCAGAGAAAGAGGCTCAGACTAGTCGAGCCAGTCCAAGTGATGATCAACTAGAAGATAACATACTAGAAAGGAATGGTTCACGGTTTCTTTGTTTTTACCTGAAGTGTATGCACTGCTCGGACGCTTAGCCCCACTTTGTTGGAAGAAAGTGTCTTTGCCTTGAGCGCCCTCTTGCCCCACCTCTACTACTTGCACCTGCTGTAAGGGGGCGCTCCACTTCATGGTGTACTTGGGGCCGACAGGGACCAGGCTGCTGATATCTGGGGGCCCCCTGGTGGACATAAGAATAAAATAATTAGAGCAGGGAGTTAAAAGTAAAAGGACCTGGGAGAAACCTATCTCCATATTGCTAACAGCGCCCCCAGCAATCAATAAGAGGAAATATATTTCTGAAATGGCACGAAGAAGAATTGAGAGTGGGAATTAAAAGCTGTATGATCACCCATGTTCCTCACCAAAACTGTACCCCTGGCTGTGAGGAGGAGTTCATTGCTATTCATGTATTCCTGTAATCACACAGACAATCAACATTGTGATTGGTTTGTCAAGATCCTGGAGGGCAGACAAAGTTGACTTCAGGACACTTGAGTTGAATGAGACGTAGAGTGATAATTAGTTTGAAGGCTGAACAAGAGCGCTTTAAGCAACATCATTGACAGGAGCTTTGCAAAATAAACAAAATTTCTTTCCTGTTTACTGCTCTCAAGAGGGTAGGGGGGAAAAGATGTGATCAATGGTGCTGTCACAGAAGATAAATTGGAAGGGAACCAAAAAATGTTTTATGTCAGTAATCTAGGACTCCTGTAGCTGTAGTCAGACATTCTACCATTTGTTTTAAGCTGATAAAGCTCCTGCAACTCCTGATAGTGCCCAAACCCCCTAGCAGCTATTTCTTTTTTTCTGTGCAGTTTGCCAAAATATCCTTGCAAAACCTATAGGGCATCACATTAGAGCCCCATGTTACCTAATAGCTATTTCTACTAACTGTGCAGTTTAGCAGACTCTCTTTTAAAACTTAAAGGCAACTTCATGCTAGAACTACACATTAGGAAAAAGTATTCTTGAATGCAAGGGCATTATTTAGCTCAACTTGGTCTACAAGAGGGACTTACTTGACATTTATGTTGCCACAGATGAGAACATCATCAAAGAGGAAGACCTTTCTCTCTTTTGACTTCAGGACTTGTCCCCTCTCCCCATACACAGTCTCAATAAGCGTCTCACAAAGGACCAGTGACCCCTGCTCCAAGCTGAGTTGCTAAAAGGGACACAGCAAGCGGATCAGAGGCAGAGCAGACAGCTTCACAACGAGCCAATCCTCCAGAGTTTAGTGCCTGCAGGACGCAGAGATCAGGCTGGGAGGAACACTGTCTCATCAGGGATTAACACATTCATTCTACTGAAGGTCACTTAATGTGTGCACACATCTGTAGCCTGTTCGCTCAGCAAATTTAGTGAAAGAGACTCTGCACATGTTCTGTCATTATCTTGATGTTTACAGTAATGAGAGAAGAATCTAAAACCAACACACTACTCGATGGGACTCGAGCAGCTGCCGGAAACTTTTAATAATGTTTTGGATAAAATAATTCTAACATGTAGCTCAGCTCATTTGTTGTTTTTTGTGTGTTGCCGTGTTATCCATCAAACCTCTAGCACAGAATCCAAAATGGCTTAGTTTATGAGCACACTGGACACACAATCCTTTCCACCACAACAGGGATACAAATCCAGGAACAGTTCGCTGCATGCACACCTTTAGACACATGGACCCGCACAGGCAGATGCAGTTAAAGAATCCAATAACAGAGGTAGTTTATTCAGCACTATGTTGACGCATGCTGTGCTTTACAGTCATCCATATGTTTGGCAAAGGCAAACAGCAACACAAAGCGTTTTCATCACTTTGGTCCAGCTTCAGTTATGACTGCCTAAATCAGTACTTTAAGTTTTATGTATACTGCATCAGTATAAACCAGGTGCATTCCAACTGTTGGGACTGAAAGCTGCAGGTTAAGTCCAAATAAGGACTTCACATCCTGATAGTTTGATGTTCGTGTTTGTTCAAAACGCACAAATTTTAGCGAATGATGAGTCTCTCTGCTGTGTCCATTCTACAACCTGCAGCGCAGTAATGTATTGGACCACATTTCACAGAAGACGATGTGCTATCCGGAGGCAATCACTAGCTGCTTTTGGCTGCGGCTCAGATAGCACACAAAATGAGTCATTAGTCCGACAGGGACTGCCGTTTGATGGCCACGAAACCATAAAGCTCCCTCAAGAGGTGGGCCGCTATAAGAATACATCCTTAAAGTCTTCAAGCATCAACAGGCACTGCACCCTGCATGGAGTGCATGTGTGAGTGTGTGTGAAATCCATTCTCACTCACATTGTTATATGTCCTATTCTGCCGACTTAGATACTTTGAGACAAAGAATGAATATTTCATTGGGTGGCTATGGGGGCAATAGAGTTTCCTATTGGAATTCTACAGCGTCACCATAGCAAATGGAATTCTGTTTGGAGTGGAGGAGATTGGTCGAATCAGCTCATCTCGGAGTCCTGAAAAGCAATGGCTGATAGAGAGAAATAAAAAAAAAGGAGGGGGTGAGAGGAAGACGCAGTCACACTAGAGAAAGAGAAGAAGGGTATATAAGTGGAGTGAGAAAGTAAGCAAGAAGCTAAGTGCAAGAGGGAAACAGAGGGGAGGTAAAGTGGAGGGAGAGAGGATAAGGGAGAGTGACAGGATGAGAGAGACAGCTCTCTTACAGTTTCCAATTAAATGACTCATTTACCCCCTAATTCTTCTTATTCACTGCAGCACTGGTTCAGATTTGCAGCAGCAGGACTGTAATTTCAGTGTGGTAATGGCGAGAAAACACCTTCACCACTGCATTTGGCATTGTTTAGTGATCATAATGGGCATCACTTCTAGGATGGAATTTTTGTGAATAAAATGCATCCATAGATTAATGTGTGGGAAAGTGACATAAGCGGCTGCTGTATACAATTGTAATTCATATACTAGGTGTTTGGCTCACAGTGATACCAACATAGAGGAGTTAAAGGGCTTAGAGGTTGGCTCACAGTTGATTTGATTGGGGTAAATGTGCACGTGTAAGTACATCTGCACAAAGGAGTGAGTGTGTATCCAATCACCTTACTGAGCAGGCGATCACTGACGCTGCGGGCTAGTTGTTGAGTTTCTGCAATCTGGTCAGCTATTCGTTTCTGTTCATTCAGCTTCTCCGCCAGCATTTCCAGCTCTGTCAGAGCGAGCTGCAGGGGCAGACGATCCACGTGGCCCTTCGGCGTGTTCTTAAGCATGTCCTAAAACAGGAAAGTTTTAAGTAAAGCTACTGCAAGATAACAAATACCAAACACTTTTTACCTTCATTTGTATCCTGAACTATACTCATCTCTAACAAAACATTGTGCTCTTTTTAGGAGTGTTGTCTTTGCCTCAAAAAGTTCACACTCTCAGGAGGATTTATGTTACAACACACAGACTTTCCAGTGATTATGTAAACTTATATATAGCCTATATATAGTGTTTCTATTCCTGCCCGTTTTTGTGCAGTGTAGGCTAAAACACCAATAAAAACTATTTTGAAAACTTATCCTGTTTCCTTCCCATTGGAACTTTGGTGTTGTCTTGATATGCATCTCAGATGTACCTTAGTGCCTTAAGCTCTAGTTCCCAATATACAGTATATGTGATTTAATACATACACTTCCACTTTGGAAGTATTACGTTTAGGTTAGAGGAAAATGTCTGATTCACATTCACAACTTATCTTTTGAATTCATGGATAATCAATGCCTGCTGAGGGATGAAATGAGCTACTGCAGATACAGCAAGTCAAGCTCAAATCCAAATGTTTGCTCAGAATAGAAAGTGGAAAAGTTGGGATGTACAGCTAGTAATATAAAAAAAACCCTGAAGTGGCTAGCTACTTTTCAAGCTCTGGCAAACCCCTGTGTAAGGATATGTGAGGTCCGACTTCCTGTGCACTGGATAAGTTTAAATCCATAATCGATTCTGTGGCCTTGCAGCTTTGCATCTTTATTAGTGTACGTGCTACTGAAATTTTAATTCACCTTAAGTTTCTCTTATTGGAAGTGTTTAGCTAGTAAAAGGAATTCACTTAATTAAAACAAATGAAATGACTAGCCCTGTACGAAAAACATTTTATACCTGCAGGAGCAATATGAACTGGGGGAATCGCTGAATGGGCTTCACCATCAGGCCATACAGAGTGATCCGGTCAACACTAGACGCCTGCTTCTTCTTGAAACACAAAGAGAACAGAATGAAAACAGAACACAAAGCTGGGAAAATATTCTTGCACAGAAAGGCCATTTAGAGGAAATGCTGCTTTTTCTTCTCTAGGAGGAGCATGTCAGAATCCTCTGTAGACTGTGTAGGCGTATGTGTGGGTGAATAAGGTATGAAAATCAGGGTCTGTTAGTCACATGAAAGTATGGAAGAGGAGAGATTTTGAGTTTTATATCTAATGTATTACTGTGGGTGTAGGTCAGGAGAAGATATTTTTTCACTGTAGTGTCTGTGACACAATGGCACCATCAGTATAAAAATGCACATCACTGGGCACATTTAATAGATGGTATGATTGTAAAAGGTTGGGTGAGATCAACTGTGAAATAGACATAAAAATATCAAAAATGTATATATTTATTGCTGAAAATTAAGAGATCTAACATTAGAGTGCAGTAGCCAATATAATAATGTACTTATTACTCATTAGGCTTAGGAAACCCTTTTCACCATAAATACTACATGCATATTAGAGGTGGATATCAATTAGACTTTATATTCTAAAATATATTGGAGTGATATTTATATTCTCATATGAGACTAGACATTGTCTAAGACTTTGGTAACTGTAATCTCATAATTCATCCTAAATGTGGATTCCTAGCCCTTAATGCAGCCTGTTAACTTCACTAATATCTGATGCTTCCAACCCAGTGAAATGAATAATGAACTGTGGTACTTTCATGGTTGTTATGTTCATATTATTAGACCTTTAGTCACTGACACATGCTATATCATCAGCATTAATAAACTTGCACTGTTTTAAAGACATAGTACTTGGTCAAATATTTTGCGGTATCTCACTTTGTCAACATTGAAAACTGAACATTGAGAATTTCATTGTATTAAAAAGTGAGCATTAAAGCTGCTCTAACTACCTTTCTTTTCAGCCTAGAGGGTCTAGTGAGACTAAAAACAAGCTGACACCATAAGCCTCTCCTAATCGCTTTTTGAACTGCGGATGCCTGGTTACGACAAACTGTAAAAACATCAGGCTCCAGTCAAAAGTTAGATGACAAACAAATCCTGGCTACGGCAGCACTGCAGAGGCACAATGTCAAGTGATGGTTTAGCAATTTAATGTTAAACAAATTTCAAACTACTCCCAAACTCAAATCATACTGATTTAATACAAAGGTAAAATTATGAACATGCTAGGCTGCTAATGTTACCAAAGCAAACACATGTAGATGCTAACAAATTCAGAAGGAAGAACTCCACATCAAATCTGAGTCCTGCTTTAAACAGTCTCTATCTCAAAATCCAAACTGATGTTAACCCTAGCTTTTGCTCTTTTGTTGTCCCATAAGTACAGTGCAAAAGAATGTTGGCTTTTTGGTCCAGTAGGCACCGTCTCAGACTTTTAACTGCTGAGGAGTCCTCTGTAGGGCAGCAATTGATGTTCTTAGTTGAAAAATGCTCCTTGAATAGGATATACAGTAGATAGCCTATAAGTAAAAGGACAATGTACACTCAAGAGATTCATGAGTGAAGGCTGCAGATTGTAACCCTAGTTCTATAGCACAATTGGAAAGGTTGTCCACTTGAATTCAGTCAAACTGACAAGTACTTAATCAGCCATGTAATTAGTCTAACATTTTCCCATTGTACTTGCCCTGTATAAGGTGTAATGTGACCTAACTAATCATCCATGAAGTCAACAGCTTGAGCAGCAGAACGCCAGTATTTCAGCACTCCACCTGTATGCAAATGGTTTATTCATCATTTATGTAGTATTTCAGTTTACTGGCTTGTAAACACGGGTCAGAGTACCAAACAGATTGCGAGATTTTGATCCTGGATATATTCCTGACATACTGTAGTCCATCTGTATTCAGCCATAGCTGGAGTCTTGCACAGTGTGATTAAAGACCATCAAAGATTTTATCTCGTTTCTCTTTCATCTGGGACAGCCCAAGATTACACAGTATAAATGGGCCTTAAAAGGAAGCCCCTGACACCGTACACACAATCACGAGGCGGAGACACCAGTGGTCAGCAGCCATAAACCTATTAAATCAAAGATGCTATTTTAATCTACCAGATCAAAGGTTCAGCAAGATACATGACTTTTCGAAGCTAAACTAAAGGATACTGAGTAGATACCATGAAAACTTTGAAATGCAGAATCTCGACATCGCATTTGATCAGGTCAAGATACTGTATCAGTGGACATGGGCTCTTTCCTGCTTTAGTCACTAATTGTTTGATTGGTGACAGGCAGAGGGGCAGTTGCAGATAAGAGGGATCATGAGAAGCTCTCCAACTCCCTAACAGAGGGCAGTCATGTCCAGTCAAACCTGTCTGACACCATCTAAAACCATAACACTGCCTGAGACAATATCAGTGTAGTGGTTCACCTGAATTTTCTCAGTTGGTAAAGAGATTTGTGTGAAATTATCCCCAACAGGAAACGTCATACTAAGCCTTGTTTGCACCATCCGTTGGAGCCTGGACTAATAGCTTGGTTCATGTTGTTGCTGTCTCTTTGTCTTTTTGATGTGGCAGTGTAGGGACTCCTGCAGAACCAGTGTGAATTACAAGTTGTCTATATTATTTGTGAAGGTGGAGCAGACAGCACTGACGATCACTAGCAGGGCTGCTTGCATGAGATTCGAGGAAACTTTGAAGAAATACAAATTAGAGATCTTCAGCAGTACACTCAGGTCCTAGCAATCAAAACTGTCAGGCAGAGTCTGTTCAGTCTCATCAGTTCAGGTAGGGTCCTGCTGTATTACCACAGGGCTTAGATATATGTATGTATTTTTCTGATAATTGGGTTAGAAAGGACTTGCTATTAACTCTGATTACATGGTTTGTTATAATCAGTGAAGGAGAACAATATGTTTCTTGAGACTGGATGCAAAATGTGAACTGTGGAGGGCAGGGAAAGATTATACTGCTACTGTTTTCAAATGAGGCATATCAGGCTGCTGGGTGTCTGTCTGGGTCTGCTCAGCTGACTTTGGGATCAGGTCTAATTATTCTTGAGGACAGTTAGTACCAGAACTATTTTAGGAAACTGTTTTATGTGTCAGGTTTCCCCTGGATCGATTTCAGGTCACCTCCAAAAAATTGGACACATGAATATATCCAGTGTAGATGTGTTCTGCGGAGAAAAGGAGAGTGTCTCTCTCTCTCCCATGCAGGTATACGGTACAGTACATCCTCAGATGACATGCGGAAAGTAAGCTGGAGTTTGCTGGCAGTAACAAGGCAGGTTGATGTGCAGAAGTCTGCACCACTGTCATCCTAACTACTGTCTTATGAGTATCTGAGTTAAACAACCTGCAGTCCAAACAACCAGGAGCCTCCTGGATGCTGTTTATGGCAGAATGAGCATCAGCTACACCCAGGCAGGTGTAGAAACACCAAAAACACAAGGTAGAGTGGTGGCTTTCTTTGACCACAGGTAAGTCATGCTGAATTGTCATAGTTTTTCTTACAGTTCCTGAATGAAAGTGAATTCTAGTACCGCTGGGAGAGATGAGACCTGACTGGCTGCAAATTTTAGTGTTTCTGCTCTAAAGACGAGAGCAGTCGGGTTCCTAGATTAGAGCAGAGTCGATTTGATAGTTGCTATTTACTGCATATTTACAGAGGCTTGTAGCCAAAGGCATATAAATTATGAGGTGATAGACTCATCTAGTTATGATGCAGAAATAAGAAACTTTATTTCTTTCACTTTGTAAGATGTTTTTCTGACAGTGTCACCTGCATTATTGAGTAGAATTGTACTGTTGCCAGGCAACCTTAACATCATACCATGAAGCCTCAGCATCTACTGGTTCTCTGAAACTGATAGGATTGTCCCTTATGCTATTTTTGTGTTAAAGCACTTGACACCTACTAGAAAAAAGGAAATTGACAAGACTGGATGTGCAGTTGGACCTGTCAAGGGGACCCTTCACCTCACAGCTGATGTTAACTAGATTAGACCCATGAAATCTCCAGCAGGTTGCATAATGTCCTGCCATCCGAGCACCAGGCGCCTCCACATCAGCTCTCGCCACACAGCCAGATAATGCTATGATACACTGTGTGTATATAGACAACTTCAGTCACCACTGTTGGTCTCAGAGGGTCACGGTGATTTAGTGTACAAAAATAAATATTATTTATTACTAGTCTATCAAGAACAGCTGATTTACAGTGACATCACCTAGATGCTTCTCTGCAAATGCAGCCATTAGATCAACTATGCTGAAACTCAAAATGTAATAGCCCCTATCACTGTAAATGTTCGGTGTGTGCTTATGATCATTTGCATGCAGGCAGTTCAGTCTATCTAGCCAATTTATTATTTTGCAAGTCTGCAACAGGCAGTGATGGAGAACAAAAAGAATGACAGAAAGAAAGGGACGGATTATCTGGACCAACATACAGGGCTGACAGCTGTGTGATCTGGTTCTGTAAATCAGCATTACAGCTC